CGTATACCTGCAGCCCCCAGTCAGCAGGAAACACTAAACTCTGTGAACACAGCATGTTGTAACCAGCAGCTCATTAAATCCACCTGAAGAGAGCATTAATTCACTCTGAGGCTGCTAACACAACAGAGTTCATTAGCAACAGAGCTAACATTAGCTAACAAGCGCTAGCTAGCAGTGTGTGTGTGAAATGAGTCTGGTGAGGTTTGTTCATTCACATTAACTATCACATGGGTCACGTCGACTGAACTCTGTGAATATATGGCTCTGCTCAGCTCCACCTCTGTCCTCGTACCATCGTCTTCCTCAGCGACTCCCACAGGAAGCAGGTCTACGTCAGCACAAAGTCCTGGTTCAGTCCAGCGACAACAAGAGTCCAAGCAGCTGGACTCTGGTTCTTCCAGACGTTTCACCTTCATCCCAGTGCTCTTCAGTTCTAACTGCCTGTTTATTGTCATCTAAACCATGGAGGTGTGACTGGTGGTGAAACCGTCTGGGGAGAGATCTCCAGTCTGCACTGTGAGTACCGGATCAGTGGTGCAGAACTACAGCTCCCATGAGTCTCTGGGGAAGGATTCAGGGAGCTGCAGCTGAAGAACTTCAGGACTCTTCATCAAGACTTTGTTACCGTCTCTCTGCTCAAACACAACACTGAGACTTTCTGTCTCGTTTCTCAGAATCTTACCTCAGAGTTGATCAGAGATGGAACACAGTTAAATGTTGAACTCTGAGTCTGGAGGTCAAAGTGTGAAACGACCGCTCACAGTGAGGCTTTCTCAGAATGGACAGAAAACCCCAGCTACCCAAAGAGCAATGATAGAAAGTCTGAGATGAAACCCACAAATGCTCAGAAGCTAACCTGAGGGGGTGGAGCTTCTGTTCTCCAGGTGTTGGGTGGGCGGAGCTTAACACACAGGTAAACAAAGGACTGAAAACGGTCACTGTGGCTTTCGTGTTTTAGAAACTTCTGGGTGTAAAATAAGACGTGATCTGAATATCCAGCTGTGACCTTTGTGCCAGATGACCGGAGCAGAACCGCTCAGCAGTGACACAAACGGGTCGCTCATGCTTCTAGTTTAAAGCTGGCATCTTGCAGAACCAACCGAATCCTTCATTGATCCATTTGTTCAGGTTTTGGCGTTGATATATTTATACTTGACGCAGCTTTTCAAGTTATAAAAACACAGCTGCATTTTAAATACAAAAAATATGAATAAACACTGTTTAATTAGGAGAGGACAGGTGTGTTAAACTCCGCCCACCTGCTCCTCCAGTCACTGTTAGTTGTGGATCATTTTTGCTGAGGAGGCACAAACACCTCCTCCTCCTCCTCCTCCTGTGGGAGTCCAGTCACTACTTCACTGCTTCACTCCTCCTCCTCCTCCTCCTCCTCCTCCTCTCCAGCCATCACCTCCACCAGCAGCTCGGCGGTGCAGGTCGCCTCCCCCAGACTGTTCACCGCCTTCACCGTGTACTTGGAGTCATCGTCGCCAGAAACCTGCAGGTTTACATCAGGAAGGAAACAATGAAGTAGATCAGCGTGCAGGCAGGATGCTGTAGCTTCTAGCTGCTGCTAAGAGCCTCTGCAGAGAGTAGCTCCACCTGTTGTGGTTCTTGAACACGTCTCACCTCCCTCTGTTCTCACTGACTGCTGGGGACTTACAGGTGTTTGCTCTCACCTGTAGATCACATGTCTGAGGGTGAGAATGGTGGTCCAACAGTCCTGAGTACCAGGGATGTCAGACATCGGTGTAGTGGACCCCATGTACCAGGTGCCTGTAGTGCAGCCCTGACATCCCTCCCCAGCATTCAGAGTGTGACGGTGGTCCACCTGCCCAGGGGGGGCTGTGAGGACCTGATACACGGTGTGGTGGCCCCACCCATCAGGTGCTCCTCTGACTGTCTCACACACGATATGTACTTCCTGACTTTAATCACTTTACTTCAACAACATGCATAATGCTGCTGCTGGTGGTAATGTGGGTGTTCTCACTGCACTGTAACGTCCTGCACCTCTGTGGAGCCACAACGACCATGAGCAGCAGTTTGGTGCAAGTCATCAGGATTTGAGGGCCCTCTGCTAAAGACAAGCTACCGCTGAGGTTTGTGTGAGGAAGCAGGTGATGTCTGACCTCTGAAATGACCAGACTGCAGTTTCCTTCTTCGTCGTAGTCGATCTGGTAGTGCCGGGTCTCTTTGATGGGCTGCTCGTCCTTGTACCAAACCACCTCAGGGTCGGGGTAACCTGCAGCAACAGCAGCTCTGGCTTCAGTAAAACCTATTCTACGTGTTAAAACACATGTTCTTATCAACAGACACAGTAGTGGAGGCACCGCGGGGCAGCTCAATGCAGCAGCTCAATGCAGCAGCTCAATGCAGCAGCTCCGTAGCTTCTCTGCATGTTGACTGTTTTCAGTGCACTTCCTGCTTTTCTTTGTGTGCTACACAGACATGAAGCAGGTGTGCAGCTATGGATGTTTATCTGGTGACATTAGTAGCTTGCTGCTTTCTGGACTTCTTGACTCGGCGGTGGGCGAGCCGTGAAGCCACGGCTCCACTGATGACACTTGTTCAGCCCTGAGCCACTACAGCTCTATTGGACTCAGCTCTTCCTACTTATAGTTCATCTGCTCTCTTTTCTTTCTCTCACCTTTTGCTGCTCTTTCCTGCATCTGCTGCAACAAGTGAGTTTCCCCATTGGTGGTGAAAAGTAAAGTGCAATCTCATCTCATCTCATCTCATCTCATCTCATCTCATCTCATCTCATCTCATCTGTTGCTGTCTCAGGGACCAGTAACCGTACTGACCTTCTATCTTGCAGTCGAAGCGAGCGGCGCTGCCCTCCACCACCTCCACGTCCTTGATGACTGAGCTGAAGGTGGGTTTGCACTCCGTCTTCTGCTCGTACTCCAAACACTCCAGGAACTGGTTGTCCTCTGAACACACATGGACACACAAAACAACACAAACTGTCAGCAGAGATTTAATCTTCATAGACAGTCTGCGAGACGAATCGCTGACCTCAGAACCATGGAGGAGCTGAAGGAGGCACGAAAACAGACACAGAGTGCTGCTCCATGTGTAGGGGTTTGTGTCTTTGTGGGGGTTTTGTGGTGGTTTTGTG